TACAGATGTCATTTTATTTAATTCATCCTGGTGTGGCGCTGTGGGTTAATGTGCCAAGCTGCAAAGCTATTTGAACTGCAAGGTTGGCAGTTCAAGCTCACCAGCTGCTCCTCGGAAACCCTATACAGGGTCGCTACGGGTCGGAACCGACTCGACGGCACTTCACAACAACAGCAACAATACTCTGAAGTAGGATCTGTTATTTCACCCTATTTTCAGATGAGAAAATGAAAGCCCAGAGAGGTTAGATAATTTGTCTAATGTCACATGATTAAGTAGTAAAGCTAGGATTAAGAAAAAACAGCAAAACAGTATAGTCAGTGGTCCTGGAGGAGAAAAGAGAGGTACTATTAATCCCAACAGTCTGGTGAGGCTACTAAAGCTCAAGGAGCTGTCCAAATTGGCGGCCCTAGCTTTTTTTTTTTTAACCACCATTCCATGTTTTTGTGTTCTACTGGTGTTTTCCTGCACAGGGTTCCCATTTCTGCCCTTTGGAGGCCTTGGATTCTTAATGAAATACTTAATGAAAACCCATTGGGTTCTGAGTCCTGTGTCACATATATATCCAAAAGTTCCTGGAAAAATGTCATTATCTTTTAATTCCATTTGTCTACAAACTTTCTGAAGCCCCCTTGTGTGTGTGCATATTTTACATCTTCTTATAGATAGGACAGGTTCTGTGTGCTAATTTAACTAATTTTCCTTTTGGAGGAATTTAGAGTTACCTTTTCATTTACAGTACAGTGCTAGTCATATGGATACTAATGAATATACTGTATGTGTATATATATATTGATTAACGAAATGTGATGCAAGCATATTATGGGATGAAGAATCTTGTTCTACAAATGTATGTGTGTTCATGACAGACTAACATCCACATTATTGGCTTGACTGATAAAATTTTCAGTATGAACCCAAACATGACTTTTAATAGAATGTCACTTTGGGTTTTATGACTGTCACTTTCCTAATTGAGCTAGTAGACTAATAATTTCAGTAGCTCAAGTGGTGATCTCTTGTTGGGTTTGCTTTTTAGAAGGATAACATATTGGAAAACTCAACCTACTTGAAGTGAGAGTGTGCAGAAGATACTTCTAGTTCTCATGCTTTTATTACTGTCTGAGCAGTGCCAAGTTTTCTGATCTGTAAATTTAACATATACAAGATAAGGTTATACTAAATGGTGGTGAAGGTCATTTACAAAGTCCTATGGAGTCCCAGTGTGGTGCTGTAGGATAAACACTCTACCCCAAGGCTCATTTGAAATACAATATCAGCAGTTGAAACTCACCAGTTGCTCCTTTGAAACCCTATATAGGGTCACTATGAGTCAGAACCAACTGGACAGCACTTAACAATAACAATACAATCCTGGTGTGGTACTGTAGGATCATAGACTGTGAACCACAAAGTCAGCAGTTCAAACCAACCAGCTGCTTCTTGGAAACCCTATACAGGGTAGCTATGCATCAGAAGTGACTCGATAGCACTTATCAACAACAACAGTACCCTCCTGGTGTGGCACTGTAGGATCATCACTGGACTTTGTGAACCAAAAGATCAGCAGTTCAAACCGACCAGCTGCTCCTTAGAAATCCACACAGGGTTGCCTTGAATCTGAATTGACTGGACAGCACTTAATAAGAACAGCAACAATTCATGGAAAACCCATCATTTCAGCCAACATAGGTTATTAGTTTCATTTTTGACAGTAGATAAATACTTCAATTTTGTTGGGTTTTCATTTTCTTGCCTTTCAAATAGGCTGATAATTCTTGATTTGCCTGATATATAGGACTTGCATGGGGATTCAGTGAGATGCTGGGGACATAAGTGCTTAGAATAATATAACACATGGCATGAACACAACATGATATTATTGGTATTGAAAGTTAACGGAAAGGTGTTGGGTTTCTCGCCCTAAAAAGAAAAAAAAAAAAAAAAAAGACTTGAGTTAAAAAGGAGTTTGATCCCTGTTGGGCTGTTTCCTGGAGTTTATGGAACTCTGAGGGTAAATAGGGGCTTTGTCCTGTGGCGGGTCAGTTTCCCACAGTTGGGGCAAAGCTAGCTCCCTCTTTCTCCTGACAACACTTTATAAAACACACCCGCCACACAAAATGTGGTCATTCCTCAGAGCGAAGTGCAGGTTTGAGTTACAATAACCCCCGCTTTGTTAAAAGCCCCCTCGAAATCTGAGAGCTTCTCAATAGGCCAGCAGACATGTACATGTCCCCGGGCTTACAAATTCCTCATAAACTTTGCCTGACAAATCATCCCCACATTTCTGTGCCTCATCTAACCATGTCTCTCTTTGGGGGTTATTTTTAACTCCAGCTTCTAACTCCTTTCTGTTCCTTTAAGGAAGTGAGATCCGAAAGGGTCAGCCACTTGGCTCCTATGTGGGGGAAAACTTTGAGAGAATTCCTGAGGTTCCCCTTGGGGTAGGGCTGGCTTTCCCCAAAAGAATAGCCCTTTCAAAGCATCTTTGCCACATAAGGGCTTGTGTAAGGCCCCAGGCACCAGTTGACGGCCCGTCTCTTCCCCACGACAGATGGTCAAGCCTTCAATTTCAGCAAGTGATCCGCTGTGGAGCGAGGGTGGGCAGGGGATTCTGCCAGCATGCCAAGTGACAGGGCAGCTTAGGGTAACAGGAATCCGGTGTGTGCCGGGCATAGCTTTTGTGCTAACGATGGGCTGCTGACAGGCGCCTCACCCTGCTCACCCCTGAGGCAGAAGATCCCGTACTCCCTTGATTCTGTTTCTCTCTGGCAGAGTTAGAGCCCTGTTTGCCTGCCTTTCAAAATCTATTTTGGCACCAGATGGACCCCCTCATGGTGGCTAGCAGTTGTCTGATTTGAAGATGCCAGAGAGTGTGCTGACAGCTCCCTCTAATACAACCTGAATCTGGCTGTCGGTGCTGAGCTCAAATGGCTTAAACACACAGAGGCGGCAACTATTACCAGCCGTGGGGCCCCGGCCCAGGGATGGTGGCTATTGGAAGGAGAATGTCCATGACTTCCCCCTGGCTCATATTCACACTGCTCTTACGGTGACAATAACAATCATAATGGTCACAACTACTCTTTCTCACACCATTAGTCTTTTTGTGAGTAGTGGCTCATTGTGGTAAAACATATATCACAGACAATTTGCCATTATAGCCATTTTTGAGTGTACAATTTATGATATTAATTACCTTTATCATGTTGGACAGCATTCACAGCAAATTATTTCCAAATCTTCATCACCATGCAAACAGAAACTCTGGATCCATCAAGTAATAACGCTATTCTCCTCACCATCAGCCCCTGGTACCCAGTAAATCTCCATTCTGTCTCTATGAATTTATCTCTTCTAGATGTTTTCTTGTAAGAAGCCCTGTTGATGTAATGGTTAAGTGCTCATCTGCTAACTGAAAAGTTGGTGGTTTGAACCCACCAGCTGCTCTGTAGGAAAAAGATGTGACTATCTGATTCTATAAGGATTACAGCCTTGGAAACACTATTGGACAGTTACACGCTGTCCTATAGGGTCACTAAGGAGCTCTGATAGGATAATGGGTTGCAAGTTGTGCTGCTAACTGCAAGTCAGCAGTTCAAGTCTACAAGCTGCTCCTTGGAAGAAAGATGGCTTTCTGAGAAATTCCCGTACAGATTTGCAGCCTTTCTACACTATACAGAGTCACTATGAGTCAGAACTGACTCCACAGCATATAAGCACTACCACCATAGGATCAATGGTGTATCACTGTAGGATAAGCACTGGACTGTTAACCACAAGGTCAATGGTTCAAACCCACCAACTGCCTCTCAGAAACCCTATAAGGGTTGCTATTAGTTGGAACAAGGAGCTCTGGTAGCGTAGTGGTTACGAATTGGGCTGCTAGCCTCAAGGTCGGCAGTTCAAAACTACCAGCTGTTCCGTGGGAGAAAGATGAGGCTTTCTGCTCCTGTAAAGATTTGCAGCCCCGGAAACCCTGTGCAGGGTTGCTATGAGTTGGAACTGACTCCACGGCACACAGCAACAACAACAACATCAGTTGGAACGGACTTGATGACACTTAACAACAACATAACCAGTGACAGCAATTATACTGTACCTAATGAGAATAATTGATCTTCAGAAAAATGGATAAACGAAATGTGGCCTACACATACAATGGAATATGACTCAGCCATAAGTATGAATTAAGTGCTAATTTATTCTACAATCTGAATGAATCTTGAAACCATATTATGCTAAGTGAAAGACAAATATATAGGATTTCACATATATGAATTACTTAAAACCAAAATACCAAACCCATTGCCATCTGGTTGATTTCAACTCAGTGAGCCTGTAAGTACAGGGTTTCCGAGGAGTGGCTGGGGGGTTTGAACCACCAGCTTTTTGGCTAGCAGTCAAGAGCTTATCCTGCAGTGCCACACCAGGACTCCTTCACTGGTACAATTCACATTAATATTATTACTTCATTACATTTCTTATTCAATTGTACATGGTTGTGTGTATAGCAAGCAGTCTAAAAAAAGCATATGGGAAATATCTGAGAAGTTAATTGAGTTTAATCAGCATGCGAATCTTATCTACTTCCTATAGCCACTACCTATTAGAACATTTTATTTGAAGATACTAAGATAAAAAGTGTTTACCATAACCTTATATTCATCCAACATGTGTTTTGTTGGCTCATCATCTGTAAATTATAGGGCTTAAATTCCATGTTGTTGTTCAGGACCATGAGTAATTCTCAGACAAATTATATCCAATTGGAACCTGCCTTAAATTATGGTGAAGACTTCCTTGGGGGCATAATATTGCAGCCCTTTACTGAAATCTGCTCACAGTACTGAGAGCATTTCCTTCTTAAAGAAAGTCCATTGTGATTATTTCTGAAAAGCAGAAAGAAAAGAAAATACACAATCTAGACATGTCTTACTGCTTGTTTCCCTCCTATGCCAAGGTTGAAATGCTAACCCTGATGATTTGTTTCTTTACAGGTTCTTCTTGAAATTTTTTCTCAAATGTAACCAAAATTGCCTAAAGAATGCAGGAAACCCCCGTGACATGCGGAGATTCCAGGTAGGTCTATCTTGTCTTTCTTAACTTTGAACAATGACGTGAATATCAGGATAAAGTCCGAAAAGCTTTGGCAGAAAACAATACTGAGTATTGCTGTTTCCCCAGAGGTGAAGAGCAGGTGAGACTCTTGGTCTCCTAAGTATCTGTACTCTTGAAGTTGTTTTTATTAGAAGAGAGTTGAGACTGAACCACCTGCGTCCACTGGTTGAGACAGTGATGTCCTCGGAGTCTAGTTTGGCTTTCTAAAAGTGTTCACGTGTCTAAACCCCCACAGTTGCAGAGATATACGCAGAGATCTCTAAAATGGTAGATTCTTTCCCCACAATCTATACAAATAGTAAGCTGGTAGATAAAAGCTTGATGTGTGTGTTAGAAGCATGACTCCTTTTTCTTTCTCCTTTCCCTGCTCTCGTCTAACCTTGGAGAAAATGAGCTATAACTGTCCATTAAAACTAGATCCCTTAAGAAGTAGAGCATCTCCAGGATCTGGGTGACATGCAATTCTGTTTCAGGAATGTTCATGTAAATAGTCTCCAGAATCAGTCATATATGCCTTCACTTAAAGCATGAGTGTACATAAGAAAACATTTTGTTAACTCGGAAGACACAAAAGGGTACTTGGGTTTTAGAAAAGGTTGCTGAGCTGTATGGAGAGTGCTTTGAGAACTTAAGTGTGGAGAATCTCCTGGGAATTTTGTTAAATTGCAGGTGCTGATTGAGATCTGGAGTCCCTGGGTGGTACAAACAGTTAATGTGCTTAGCTGTTAACTGAAAGGTTGGAAGTTCAAGTCCACTCAGAGGTGTCTCAGAAGAAAAGCTTCATGAGCTACTTAAAAAAAAAAAATGTAAAACAAATCAGTCATTGAAAATCCTATAGAGCACAGTTCTACTTTGATACGTATGGGGTCGGCATGAGTTAGAATTGAGTTGACAGCAGTTCTACATTTTAACAAGCTCCTAGGTGAAATTGATGCTACTGGGTCCTAGAACCACACTTTGAGTAGCAAGGTTCTAGACTCTTGCAATCTTCTCTATCTAATTTTATGACTAAACTCATGTGTGGATCAATATTACTTTTCCTAACAGAATAATGGGAGTAACAATCCCTGTATGTATGCCTGTACATTTTGTCAGGGAAAATGGCACTGTTTTGTTCAGTATATGTAGTCAGCTTTACATGCAGCTTGAGTGAGGTGCGTGATCTCTGAAGACTTCTGAGAAATATTGAGACACCTTAGCTGCATGTTCTCTGGTGAGAGAAGGGAAGAGATGAATCTGAGCATTAATTTGTTGGATGACAAGATGTTTTAGGTGTCAGGATTTTAGTTTTTGCAAGTGAGATGCCTTGGTCTAAATCCTTAAGAGTAAGTTCATTGGAAAGAAGATTCCCCTCTTCTGAGATTCTGAGGGTATTTCTCTAAAACAAATTTGATCTCTCTACCTTTTGTGCTAAAAGAGGTGAATGGGAAAAATTCATAGGTTTCTAGTTTCCTGGGAAATGCTTCCTCTGACTGACTTATTCCCACAAGTTAGTAAACTTGGGCATTTTCATTCCCACACAGAAATTTTTTTGTGTTGAGTCAGCTTTGCACTTAAGTTGCAGAAATATGTGTGATGTTACTACACTTGTGTTGCTAAGTGTCTTCAAATGCAAGGCTGGATTTGAACAGAAACTGTTTTGTAACTTGCTTTCACCTTGAACTGGACCATACATTTCTTTTGACCAAGTTTGGGTTAGGATCAAGGCATATCTGGATTTGGAATAATCAATGTCTAATAACGGACTCAAGCGTGGCAACAATTGTGAGGTTGTGTTTCATTCTGTTGTGCATAGGGTCGCTATGAGTTGGTACCAACCCGATGGCGTCTAACAGCAACAACATATCTAATAAACATGCCTAAAAACGTGCTGCGGGATAGTGCACTGGATTGCAAGGTCAGTTTGAGCTGCAAGCTCAGTGGTTCAAATTCACCAGCCGCTCCTCAGAAATCTTATACAGAATTGATATGAGTCAGAATCGACTCGATGGCACTTAACAACAACAATAATGCATCATAAGTTCCAGAATTGATTTTGCTGTACCTTTCAGGACACCAGAGTTTGGGATGGACATTGTTGGCATTGTTGTTGCCGTTAAGTGTCATTGAATTGGTTCCAATTCATTAGAGATTCCTAGGAGCAGTTGGTAGGTTTGAACTGTCAACTTGTGGCTTATAGTCCTGTGCTGATCCTACAGCACCATGCGAGGAGTCCTTTGTAGCATTGTTTTTTGTTATTGTTAAGTGACATCCAGTCCATTCTGATTTGTAAGCAACCTTGCATAGAGTTTCCATGGAATGGCTGGTGAGTTTGAACCACCAACCTTATGGGTCCAGTGCTTTATCCTACAATGCCACACCAGGACTCTTTGGTGGCATTGTCATGGTGGTGGTGGTGGTAATGTGCCATGGACTGGGTTCTGACTCATAGTAGCCCTGTGTAGGGTTTCCAAGGCTGTAAATCTTTACAGGAGCAGAAAGTTGGTGGTATTAGGGATATTAAAAAAAAAATAGTGTAAAAATTCTGGGTTTTGTTTTCTTTCGTTGGAACTGGTAGCAAAATGGTCTGAAAGCCTTAAGTTATAGGGAATGTAGTTCTTATAAATTATGCAAAATAAACTCATTATTATTTTTGAGACTGCCTTCTAAGTTTTCTTTGTACTGACAAATGGTTATTCTTCAAATAGACATTTCTGGTAAGTCATATAATCCAGGTCATTTTCCTCAACTATAGACTGGAGTAAAAATGATGACTCTCTTACATCACAAGATATCAAAGTAAAAACAACATTGTGTATGCATGAGTAATTTCTAAATGATAGATAAATAAATGTAAGCCTTTATTGGATATTCTTGAGAAAAACTAAAGATGGATGTGTAGATCATTCCATCCTTCTTGAATCCATCTTTACTTGAATGCCTTGGCAGCAAATTATCTGGATTTCCTTACTCATTCTTGGTTCTTTCCAAGAGATGCTCTTTCTATGCCCGTCTGTAAATGTTGACATCCCCAGATTTCCCTCGGAGATCCAGATTTAGTCTCGTCTTGTAGGCATTCCTGATTATCTTCTTCTGCTCCAAGGCATTTGAACCAAGATTCATGGACTGGGGAGATTTGAGTCAGAGTCTCTGAGACTCATGCCTAGGTGCAGACCTAGCCAGCTGGCTGCTGAATATGTCCAGGAACGTCAAGTCAATATGCCTCACACTGAACTCATAGTCATCTTCATTTATTTGGCCTATATTTCAAACTAATCCTTTTGCATTCTTTGTCTTGATTCTTTCCTAGATGAGTTCAGTGCTGGAGAGATTACTGTTTATATTTATGTATACATTCAGTGTGTTCCATATGCATGTATGTAAATATATGTGTCCATGTATATAACTTTATGTATGTTGGGAATGATGATGATGATAATGTTGACATTTATTGGGGACTTAACCTGTGAAAAACATTGTAGTAAGAACTTCATATGAGTTATATTTTTTCTTACAATAGCACTGTTATGAATGTGCAAATGTGGGTTATTCCCATTTTACAAAATAAGAAACCAAAGCTTAGAGAAGTTAAGCAGTTTGCTGAAGGTCACACATTAACTGAGTCATGAGGCAGTTATTCAACCCAAGCAATCTGACTCAGGTGGCATCTAATGTTTTGGAACAATAAGAAACTTGTGCAAAGTCCCTGGCAGATAATCAGATACTTTAGGCAGTAAGGAGGTCTCAACATCTCAGAGACACAGTGACTGCTCATGAATATGTGTTGGGATCCCAGGAAAATCTGAGATGAGTTTTCAAAAGCTGTGTTTGCTCAAATAGAGTCTTGTTTTCCCTAATAAAACTTGTCTTAGCTATCTAGTATGGTTGTAATGGAAATACCTCAAGTGGGTGATTTTAAAGAACACAAATTTATTTTCTCACAATTTTAAGTTAGTAATATCAGGTCAGTTCCTACTCTTAGTGACCTTTTGAAGGGTTTCTGAGGAGTGACTGGTGGGTTTGAAATGCAAACCTTGCAGTTCAAACCAACCTTGCTGTCCATTGCTTATCTTATAACCCCACACCAGGACTCCTCACGATTTGTTGTTGTTAAATGCTGTCGAGTCGGTTCTGACTCTTAGTGACCCTGTATAGGGATTGCGAAGAGCTATGAGTGAATTTGAACCACCAACCTTACAATTTAGGGGAGAAATCCAAACTCAGGGTACCAGCTCTAGAGAAAGGCTGTCTCTAGGTTACCTCTGGGGGAAAATCGTTGTCTCATCTTCTGTATTCCTGGGTTTCTCAGTTCTTTGTCATTCATTGTCTTTCCCTCATTTGTACGTACTTCTCTGCATTTCTAGCCTGCTATTTTTGTCTCAAGAGACATGTCCTACACTGTTATGGACTCATTAACATACTAAAGATTACATCCACATGTAGAAGGATTAGAATTCCAACACATATTTATGGGGGAAAATTCAATCCAGAACAGAACCTAAAGGGCATCAGAAAACTCCCAAGAGTCCCTGGGTGGCACAAATAGTTAAGTGTTCAACTGCTGACTGAAAGACTGGCTGTTCAAATCCACTCAAAGGTACCTCGGAGTAAGGCCTGATGTTCTGCTTCAAAAAAGCTCACAGTCTTGAGAATCCTGTGCAGCACAGTTCAACTTGATGGTAATCGCAACAACAGGAATATCATCATGCAGAAGGGGAAATTGAGTTGGAGGGAAAGAACTTGACTATTATTCCCCAAAAGAGCTGTTGTTGTTGTTAAGTGCTGTCGAGTCAGTTCCAACTCATAGCCACCCTGTATAGGATTTCTAAGGAGTGGCTGGTGAATTTGAACCACTGACCTTGCAGTTCAAGCTGACCTTGAGGTCCAGTGCATTATACCATAGCACTACACCAGGACTCCAAAACAGATCTATTACATTGGTAAATTTTTACTTGCACAGACTTTAGAAAAAGAAACTATTA